ACAAACAGAAAACTTTGCTAGATGCCCTCACCCAAGGTAAACCTTAATATTCCTAACTAACTGATTCTTAGATTGACATACTCAAGTTGTTCATGGTTTCGAACCCTCAAGTTCATACACCATGCATCTTTCGGGTCCAAGCAGTTCATGGCGAGGCCCAACACATGTCTTTCGTTCCATCCAACGATGCAGTCGACTGGCCAACGCACATTGTTTCACGTCCCAGAAAGCGGGTCCTGTCTCCCCTCTCGTCCGCTTCGACGGGGGCTCCGTCCGGTTCCGTCCTCCGTCCGGTTCTGTCGATCGGTTCCGTCCCCGCTGAGGAGCTGTCAGAGGCCTGGCATTCGATCGAAGAATCAGGCGACGCGGCGGGCCCGAGCGGTGAGAGCGATGATGTGAGACGGACGACTGCAGTCTCGGGATTTGGACGGATTGAAGATGAGTGCAAGCTTCAACCAGCTTGGATATTGAGTGACTAGAGGGACTTACCATTTGTTTACATTCCTGTTTTTTTGAAGCTCTTGGAGCTAGCAGGAATGAGGCGAATGGGTTGAACTGAGACTAATAGGCGGTCCAGGTGTCCCTTTGAATGGGGGTTGCTGGTGTTGGCCTTCCGCTCATCCAATCTTGTTCGAACCGCATGTGACTTGGACCACCGACTTGGACCTCTTTGGACCAGATGATTGCCATGTCACACAAGCACCACAACTCAACCTATTTCATCGACGTGCCTTACCAACGAGAATCGGCATGAATCGGCCAGCGACTTTCGGGGCGACGGCGGCGGCGATGCGGCCAGGTGTGCATTTACCTTTGAAGGGCATCATTATACGCGCCCTTGGCGAGCACGAGGTGCGCCTTCTTTTCCTGCGCCTTTGAGCACGTCACGTGACGCGAGCATGAGAGGTCTGAGGCCAAAAGTTGATTCAAGCCTCATGTGTTCGTGTGTGTGTGTGTGTGTGTGTGTCACACCCTGTCCCTAAGGGTCTACTCCACGTCACACGTTTCCACGCAGGGGGATGCCCCACACCTGAAGAGAGGGCATCTAACAAAGAGGCTCTTCAGGTTGTGCTGATATCGGCAAGGACGCTTGCCGACGTACCTGCGCTCAACTTTTGATCAAGCTGTTCCACTCTCGGTTTGGTTGCATGGTGGTTGCTCACGATACTTTCCCCACAAACAGGTTTCCCACCGCAGTTCGCAGCCGCTCGTGAGTTGCAGCCGGCCGCGCGAGATTTCGATCACTGAGTTCAACATTTGTTCAACATTTCAGTTGCGCTGACCTTGTCACCTTACGTTTCCCTCACCTTCCTTCTCATCTTGGGAACTGAGCTAACTGAAAACCAATGTCAGAGTGTGTGTTGTGCGCGTTGTGTTTAATATGCACTGTGTATGCAAGGAAGGGTTGTGGCTTAGGACTTAAGAGGTTGAAGTCTAACAGTGCTTTGGATGTTGATCGATTCCCTTCCTGTGTGAAGTTCATCTTGCAGAGCGATCCCATCTGTTACACCTAGCCAAGCTAGGTGCAGGTTCATTTCGACTCCACACCATGTGACGTGTAACATAATCGGGCTTGCGAATTCTGGTGAATGTGTGCAGCTCATCAAATGCTTAGTAGTGTCCTTGCTCCGTTCGTAGCGATGCCAGGAGCCCCTAGTAGCCTTTTGTTCCTAGTAGTAAGGCCAGGAGCCCCATTGTAGTGTCCTTGCACGATACTCACTTGTCCAAAATTCTCAAATCCGTGTGAACCATCGTCAATTCTGCCACCACACCAATTGGTCAGAAATGCCTACACTGATGGATATTGTTCAAGTGAGTTGTTGAAACCACCAACCAGTATGCAATTGTTTTGCACGCACAAAGGTTGTCCAAGTACATAACTTCGTTCATCAATGAATGACCAATTGACCAGACTTGGATCTTGAGTGAGTTCCTGTACAAGGTATTGAGTGTAGTCTGGTGCACGCTTCCATTCTTCAATTGTTCTGAATCAACCGTGCATCTCTAGTGGAACTAGGCTCGCGACTGACGCGCCGCCCTGCAACTGTTTGTGCGTGTTTTATTTATATATGCACAATATTTACAGTAGATTTGTTTTTGAAGTGTCTTTGCAGGTGCATCAAATTTCCCACGTTTTTTCCATGAAAGTGCTTGTGTCATGTGTTTCACTACAGCGAAACGTTAATTTTTGTTAGAGGAGTGTGGTAAAAACAACCACAAACACACAACCACAAACACACAAACACACAACCACAAACACACAACCACAAACACAACCACAAACACATCCACAAACACAACCACAAACACACAACCACAACCACAAGTACAAACACACAATCACAAAGACACATCCACAACCACAACCACAACTACAAACACATAATCACAAAGACACAACCACAACCACAACTACAAACACATAATCACAACCACTACCACTACCACAAACACAACCACAAACACACAACCACAAACACAACTACAAACACACAATCACAAAGACACAACCACAACCACAACTACAAACACACAATCACAAAGACACAACCGCAACCACAACCACAACTACAAACACACAATCACAACCACTACCACAACCACAAACACAACCACAAACACACAACCACAAACACACAACCACAAAGACACAACCACAAACACACAACCACAAACACACAACCACAAACACAACCACAACCACAACACAGCACACAACCACAGCACACAACCCGAGGACCCACAAGCAACATCGAGAACTACAATACTAACGACTATGGCAACATGCTCCTCACTATGGCATCAAGACAAATGATTGAAATGTCATGGTGGGGATCACTCGAAGTAAAGTAATTTTTGTTAGAGGAGTTTGGTAAAAAAGATCGGACACGTGTTCTTGAAGGTCTGATGATAAGTGCTTTGCAGTCGCCCAAAAGTTCAGCCAAGAGTTTTTTCATGATAGTTGTTCTTCATTCACAACACTTTGCAACTCAACACGCAAGTTTCTTTCACTTAAATTTCCCGCGGACAAGTGTTCTTCTTCCGACTTGACGGTCATTATTTACAGATTTACAGTAGATTTGGATGTTGCACAGAAACAAATACAACTGGAAGAAGTGCGATGTAACACACACAAAGGAACACACAGTGCACGTCATCACCACGTCCCTCCAGGCCGATGGCCGTGAAGCGGAGCTCTGAGCCGTCGCAGCAAAGCCCTGCGACCGGCGAAGGCTCAGAGGCAACCGAGCAAGCAGATGTTGTTTTCATGTTGTTTTCCCCCTAGCACATGTTTGAAATACATCGTGACAAAAATGTCAGAATGGTGAAATTCAATTGAATTGGTTCTCTACTGGGTTAGCACGATTGTAAGACATTCATTGTCAGCATACTCCTAGTACAGTAGGTGCGTTTCAAAATGAGAGAACTTCTGGACAGGGTTTTCATCCTGTTATTTCTTTTCAGGGAGTCTAAATGTTTTGAATTCTCTCGACGGTGTGGGTTGCCAGCTACATTCCATTCTTCTGACCGATTGGTCAGCTGAGTCAGCAGGGGTCAAATAATCAGAGGGAGTAGAAATCGTGTGCCCAGAAACTGCCAGCTCATACTGACAGATAAAACGAGTACGTAGACAAGAGGGTGCCGAAAACATATTCATTCTGCTTGAAAGGGTTTAGTATCTACTGCAAGAATCAAAGACGAGTATGTTGGGACATGCATTGGTCAATCTATGTCAATCTAGTCTATCTACATGCAAGTTGCTGTTTCGCGCTTTATGACTCTTGTTGCTTTCCTATCCTTACAACTGTTCACACTCCTTGGCCCAGGCTGTCTTGTTTGCTCGGGTGGTTCAGCGGTTTAGTACTGATGTCCAAGCGCATGGGGGTTGGCAGGGGCAGTCACCCAGGATCAACTCTTCAGCCATTGGCAGGGAGAGTTCTGCTTCAGGACTCCAGCCTTGTATAGAGCTTTTCATGGTAGCTGCTAGTGACAAGCAAACGCTACCAGCTATCTGATATCCTGTATGACCCCACCCGTCCCTCTTTGCGCTGGATCATTTCAGATCCGCAAAAGACATGGCTTTTCAATAGCCAAACATTCGCAGAGAAAACCTGAGGGCCGGTTGAGCTTGCGAAGCTCTAGCAGGGGTTAACCCTGAAGCTGCTGATTGACCAATGTCACGAATTATTTCATGGTTCATAGGGTTGGGTTGACCCACAGCAAGTGGCGGTTGATGATGTTCGGGTTTCCACATGTCGGGGTCTGGTCAATTGCTGTACCTTAGGAGAGGGAACAAGTACAGTAACAAGACCTCACAGCAATGAAGTACATAATGACCACATCTCAATGAAAGCCCACGTATGCGGAAACAACAGGTCTCAGCGGCTAGCGGCTAGAATCTTCTCATGGCCACCGAATCAACCTTTTCGAACCTCCAAAAGGCTTGAGCTTTCCTGGAGGTGAGCTTTCTAGCAGCTGCCCCTGAAGATGGGACTGTCAGTCTTATGTACTTGTACAATCCATTCCACAGCCGGAGTCAATGGCATGCATCATTCTTTGGCCTAAGCCTGCAGAGCCGGATGTTCTGGGTAGGATTCTACAGAGACACGTTCGCACAAGATTCGACCATTGCTTTTTGCTCCCGCACCACGGACGGGGTTGCTACTTGTATTGGATGGAAAATACATAGTCAGGGGTGTCCATAGATAAACTACCCTTTCCGTGTGCTGGCTGTTGTTGTTTCGATTCCTTTTTTTTGATCATCTTTGATCCGGTCCTATTCGTCCTCGCTTTCATGCCCCTTGACGATGCGTTTGAAGCAGCAAGATCAATATTGACAAAGCTATAAACAATCAATATATAGCCTAATTATAAAACACCGAAGGTCTTTGAAAAGATGGACTGCAGAGAGTACCGTGCAGATGTTCTTCCGGTCGTGTTTGCAAGAGTGTTTGTTTGCTTTTCTTAACTCCTGCTGGCTTCGATCCGATTGTTCTGAGGTTTTGAAGATGGCGTGAAAGTCACCAAGGTTAGAGGCACCAAGATGGAGCAACCACTTCACTGTCCAGTGTTCGACCGAGTGTTCGACCGTTCACTATACCTCCGGAGGTTTGGTGTTTTTTGTTTGGTGGGTTAACCTGGGAAGGTGGAGCACCTGAAGGGGCAGGATGAAAATTTTTGTTTTGGTTCATTCATAGATTCTTCAAGACTTTCAGTGACACAAAGAAAGAGCTCGGATGCCTTCAAACTGACCAACATTGACCAACGATGACAATGCTACGGAGGTGCTAACCTTTGCCGAGTATTGGTCGGTGAGCGGACACTGACTTCTCCAAGTTGAGCTTCAAGGTAGATTCCTGCAGATTTTGTTAATGCAGCTATAGTATATATGTGCTCAACATTGCTCAAGTCAACCAACAAAAATATTAGGTAACCTCAAAAAAGATCACCAGTTTTAACGGAGTGTTTTGCAATGAAGTCTGAGACTACAACAGACCCAAACTTGAAAACATGTAGCAAGACAACGGCTGGCCATGCGCTGTTCACGACCAATCCTGTGGCAGGCGAGGCCATGCAAGCAGCCGCCGACGCGGCAGCGTCGGGCATGGTCAGCGTGGTAGGCAGGACATGGGAGTCGCTGCGGTATCTTCTGCTGGTAGGTGTCCGTTTGTGTAAACTGCTATGGTATGTGGACTCTCATGTATTTTGATTGAGACGGCAGACACTTTTTGCATCTTTTTGCTACTCTCTATTCTCACAAACCAAGTACGCTTTCTTGTGATGCATCAATTCCTGAAGCAGGAGGCGTAGTGTGTTCGGATGACTACCCGCGCGCAAGCTCTGAAGTCGAAGAGTAGTTTTACATCCTGGTTCACTTTATGGGGTTCGGTTTGCTGTAGCTTCAAAATCCAGTTGCTTTGGAGAGCCCTGAAGCGCTGACATCCCCTGAGCCTCATACAGGGGTCTGCTTGTCCTACTGGTGAGGGTCAACTGTAGGAGTCCACTCCCTTGGGTGGGAGTGGATGCACTCGCATTAAGTAACATTAAGACCTACCTATCTCCGATTGCAGCGAATGAACATCGCTTCTTGTTGTTTCCTTTTTGGAAGCTATGATGCTATGTCATGATGTCGCAAGCTGTGCCCCAACCACGCCCTGTAGCTTGGCTATAGCTGACGAGTATGTAGACTCTTGATGAAGAACCCCCCAGGCCTGAAGAGGTTTTCCAATTCATATGGGATGGAATTATGGGATGCCATAGGCTACCAGCTAGACCGTACAGCTTAGCAGTAACCAAAAAGGGATGGTTTAAACAAAAAAGGAAGTCTACAGCTGGTCTCCAGGCCTGGACAGCGCCAAGACGGAGGCGCTGTGCGCCAAGGCCTCGGAGCTCAGCGGCCAGAGGCCGCCGGCGAGCCGGCCGGCTCGGCGCTTCGGGGGGGGCAAAGCCAAGACCATGGTATAACAATCAATTCATCAAAAAAGGGAATTCGGTGGTCTTCTTGGTGGTGATGTCAGACCATGTTCATCCATTTTTGTTGGAATGACTGTGGAGAAAACATGAGCGTTGCAAGCTAAATAGACCTTTTTCGATCCAGCCGTGCACGTTTAACGATCCATGCAGAGCTCTAAAGAGGCTGGTCAGATGGTTCATGAAATGCGCCTGACTGGTGGGGAAAATTATGTGGCACCAAAAGATCACAAATCTTGGGTGCTTGGACCTGGGTCATACAAAATGTGGGTGTGGGTCACTGCAAACTCCAAACTGCAGGAGGGTGAACAGCCACAGTTAGGTTCTGGATGGTTCCGGCATAGACTGTCCGGTTCATGTTGCTTTTGGATCCCCCTTGACATTGCAGAGCAATTGCTGCAGGTGTGTTTGCGCCTCAAGAGGTCTCCTGGATTCACACCACAGCATTCATTGGACCGGACGCCCTTCTTCCGCACGCCACGCCCCACCACGCCCACCCACTTCGGGCTCAAGTGTCTCAACTTCTCAGCGATCTCGTGCCCCTTTTTCGCGCGGTTTGCCATCACAGCCATGGCCGCTTTCTGCGTTGGTGGTGGTGGTGGCGGCGCTGCGGCCGCAGGCGACTGGGACGTGATCTATACCGTGGGTCCTCGCCATCTAGCGACTCTCCACGTAAAGAGAACCATTATTGGCAGCCGATCTACGAAGGACTTTGATATTGATGTGACAGGATGTGACATATGGGAAAGAGGATAAGGTTTTTGTCAAAGCAACTCATTGTTTCATGGCGTGAAAATAGAAACAACAGGGAATGGCCCACCTGCAGTACGTAGAAACATGCCAAGGTTCTTTGTGCAATTTCAACAAGGTTGCTTTTTGGATGCTTTGTTTTTGGAAAGGGGCAAGTTCAATTACAACTGTTGGTGTCCTTGGCAGTAGGGTATAGTAGGGGTTTCAGAATAGATGGTACAATCCCCAAAAGGTGGCTTATATGGATCCCTATCAAAAAGACATCTTCAGGTTTGTGCCATCTACTCTGAAACCACTGTAGTAGGTGTGTTTTCTTCCAAAGATCTTCACCAAAGAAATGGAGCCGCTGGACCGTCGAGACCATGAGAAGACCGTACGAAGGACCTGTCGACCGGACCAGGCGACAATCGACTGGATGCGACAGACAGACAGAGAGACCAGGTTTGCTCTCGCTATCCTTCGTATGCTTTTTAGGAGCAAATCGCCCTGAAACATAGTGAAACCATGTTCAATCAGGACCAAATCAAACACCAAATCATATGGGTGTTTAGGGGGATTCGCTCTTCAGAAGCCTTCTACTGGTACTTAAACCTGGGGATCACGTCTTGTCACTGCCACCTTTTGACCAACACAACTCGCTCCCATAACTCGCCTTCGCTGGCGAGGTGGTGCTGGCGGTGGTTGTTGCCGCTTGGCCCAGCCTTTCATTCTGCGGAGCGCTTTGCAAAAAAAGTACCAGTTATATCACTACAGTGCCCGAATTACACAGTCCACAGATGTCCATAGTATGTCTCTTAAATAGTACTTGTAGTAGTAGTAGTAGTAGTAGTAGTAGTAGTAGTAGTAGTAGTAGTAGTAGTAGTAGTAGTAGTAGTAGT